CGCTTTAGCACAGATGGTAGAACTTGGTTTGAAACTCTTACTGATAAAGTTCCGCCTGTCAAGCGCCTGCTCGTTGTGCCTCATAGCATATCTTTTTTCTTTAATATTTTTTAAAAATAATTATTTTATTTAACTTTTTATTTGTTTATTTATTTATTTATTTATTTATTTATTTTAATTTGACCAGAGAGAGAGGGACAGAGAGTAAGTGAGTGAGGGAGAAAGAGAGAGGGAAAGTGAGAAAGCAATCCACCAGGTCTGGGACTTGAACCACAGTTGGCCATGTGGGAGTCCAGCACCCTCAACCACCATGCCACCTGCTGGTCCCTTCTTTTTTATTTTATTTTTTTAAAAGAACTATTTTATTAACTCTATTAATTTATTTTAAGCCTCATAGCATTTCTAGGAAGGATGAGCACTAGTTCTGAGAGGATAAAGTACTTGTTATATAATCTCGGTTCCACGGTGAATTTAAAAAGTCTCTGAAGTATAGTTAATACAACCAAAAATTTAAAGGGGAAAAGAGTGCTAAAACTGCAGTAAAATCCCTTTCACCTGAGAGTGCCAAAGCAGGAGGAATCACCAGGAGGGAAACATGGAAGGACCTAGCTATTGTGTCTCAAGTAAAGGCAGCGGAGTGAGTCTGGATCGCTGGAAGCTGGTGAGAAGAAAAGTGTGAGCAAGACTTTAGGGACTAAATCAACTTATTTTCATGCTCCAGTGTAGGAGGGGACTTCCAAAACTGTGTGTGTGTGTGGGGGGGGGGCAGCAGATAGCGTGGTGGTTAAGGTGCTGGACATTTCCACATGGCTGACCATGGTTTGAGTCCTGGACCTAGTGGCTTGCTTTCTCACTTTCCTTCTCTCTGTGTGTCTGTCTCTCTCTGGTCAAGTTAAAATAAATGAATGAATAAATACAATTAAATATTTAAAAAAAAAAGTTTTGAGAAAGTGGAATTAGAGATTTATTTTTGGTACAAATATTGTTTTGAAACCATGCAGTTTTTTCATAATGCACATGTTCTATGAACTTTCGAAGACCCCTTACAGGCTTGTGCTGATCCAAGTACAAACGAGAACAATGAAAAGAAGAACAAATGCATCACTTGGGGGGAAAGGAGAGCCGTCAAATATCTGCCCCCTGAGCTCTGCTCACATACTGCAGCCCTCGGCTGTGAGGTGGGCCATCACATGAAGCTCTGCGATCGTGCGTATGAGGCATGCAAACAATGGCAGGGCAGTCTGAAAAGACGTGGGCACAGCAGCGACGTGTCTTACGGGGAGGGCAGGGAAAACGCATCAGGCCACGTCCCTATTTAGAAGAACTTCCCTTCAACATCATCCTTCCTTCGCTCTCATTTATTTTACACACTTCAAAAAAAACCTGCTGATTACTAATTTGGCTTATTGAGCAAGTTAGTATCCAGAGGGGAATACTCTGAAAATGAGCACAAGTATTCGGACATAGAACAGAAAATCCTCATTATGAGTTAGTAAACAGATTTTCTGATTTATTCATTAATATGTGAGTGTGGTATGTGTAAATCTCCAGCACTCTGGTCAATTTTGGATACTAGGACAAAACCAGGGTTCTGCATACCAAACTACAAAGTGGTCCCACTAGAAGTCTTTGCCGAATCTTACCACTTCGACTCCACTTTGAGCCACCAATTAGCTCATCACAGATTTTCCTGCCGAATGTATCGTGAATTTATTGTACCTGTGCATTTTACTATAAACAAGACTCAGATGACTTTCAGAACTAGTCAACTAGGGCAAAGCCTGCCAATCATCTCCCAGTACCCATTCTCTCCTCTTATATTTTACCTGCAGAACCTTTTGAGTTTTGACCAAGCACATGGCCAGCCAGAAAAAGATCACATTGCCTGGCTTCACTTGCCCATGTGTCTAAGCTCTGGCCAATGGAACATGAGTGGTAATGATCTATCTAGTTCCAAACTGTGCTCCTTAAAAAGAAGCTATTGGGGCTGGCAGGTGGCATGGTAGTTAAAGATACTGGACTCCCACATGGCTGACAGCAGTTCGAGTCTTGGACCTGGCAGCTTGCTTTCTCACTTTCTCTCTCTCTCTCTCTCTGTTTTTCTCTGGCCAAATTAAAACAAATAACAACAATAATAGTATATAAAGTTAAATAAAATAATTCTTAAAAAAAAGAATAAAAGAAAGCTGCTTACCCTACATTGCCACCCAACTTACTTTTCCCTTCCCTGTTGGATGGACTGTAGATATGACCATGGTAAGCAGGCTTCTACCTTACAGAAAAGAGCCACACCCTAGAGGGTGACCGAGCAACAAAACAAAAGCCTGGCTCTCTGGGCAATCTGGTGGAGCAGGACCATCCCACTCTGTCTTGATTAAACCTCTGTTACTTGGTTTCTGTTAAAATTGGCTAAGCCAATATCCCAATTAAGACAGCATCTATATGTAATGAATAAATAAAAATGAATGGTTTTTAAACCGGTTCCTCATACTCCATAAGAATTGTCTCCATGACCCCCAATGACAACCTGTTTGCATTCATCTTCCCCATTAGTTAGTGAACGGTAGAGCTTACCTAATGTCCTGGCTGAGTGAATCATCATATATGTATTTATTCCCATGGTTAATAATGATACTACTTGTATGTAGAGTATAAACTAAAAACAAAACACACAAATAGTTAGACCGAAACAGTAAATAGGCTCTCCCAATGTAATCGTGGTCTAACCACCAAGAAAATGCTATCTTAGTCCCCATTCTTGAATCCTGCCTGTGATAAGATGAGGCAAAAGAGTTGTTTGCAGAGGCCAGCCGTTGGCGTAATGATTACATCACTGGACTCCCATGCAGCTGACCACCAGGTCCCGAACCTGGTGACTTAAACTCACGCTGGGCGCGTGTACGTGCGTGTCCAAGATCCCAAGAGGAGAACGGAGGAGAAGGGATTGCGGTGTGGCCATCCCCATTGAGGGGGTGACTTCTCGCGTTCTGTCTCTGTCTCTCTCTGTCTTTCTGGCGAGCGCACGTGCCCTATAGCATAAACCTCTCCAAAAAAAAAAAAAAAAATTAAAAGGGTTGTTTGCAGATACCACTCAAGCATAATAAACTGAGCGGAAGTTAATTTTCAACCTGAATGAAGAAAAGTAATTAAATTGTGTAGGTTCTGGGAGAAGGGCACCAACAGTTGCCTCCACAGTTGCCACTATGGCAGTGGTCATACAAAGTGTGTCTGGGACCTGCAGGCTGGGGAGAGCCAGCGACAGCAGGCAGTGGCGAGCTGGGCAGGGCAGGGATGAGCATCTCCATGAGCACTCACTACAGCTTATGGGAGGCACTGAACAAGCAGGTCGGAGCAGCAGGGGGGCAGAGGCCCCAGGAAGACACAGAGAGGCCACACTTGGAGGCGCTGGCTTTGCACTTGTTAGCCATGTAATTTGCAGCCAGTTAGCCACTCTCGGCCTCAGAGTCCTTCACTGGGAAATGGAGTTAACAGCGCTATCTGCTCCAGAGCGTGTTTCCTTCTCTTGGGAGAGGTTTTTGCTATAGGGCGCGTGCGCTTGCCAGACAGAGAGAGACAGAGAGACAGAAAGCGAAAAAAATCACCCGCTAGGGGAGATGGCCACGCCGCGATCCCTTCTCCTCCATTCCCCTCTCGGGATCTTGGGCACACACGGACACGCACCCGGCGTGAGTTTAAGTCACTGGGTCTGGGATTCGAACCACAGTCATCTACATGGGAATCTGGCGACATAGCCATTACATCAACTGCTGGTCCCTCCAGAGAGTGCTTCTGAATTTGACTGAAAACAATCACCTGAAGTGCTTGTTAAACATACTGATCCCAAGTCCTTTCCCTGCAGTTTGCGATACTGTAGGTCTCGGGTAGAGCCCAGGAGACTCTTAACATTGGGCAGAGTTAGATACACTGTAAAGTGGTGTCCAAGTGAGAGTGACATCTCATTGATTGGCGTTTAGGCCAATTTCTTGCATAAAAGAGAACCGAAGGGCTTAGTGTTAGTTTTTATACTTTTCCTTTGGAACATGGAAAGACCCAAAGTCTTCACAGAACTATAGGTTTTGATTTTCAAGCTGCCAGATCCGGGACTCAAGAATAAATAAAAGGCAAGAGAAAGTCTGAGGCTGTCAGTAGAAATCAGCCGGGGAATAATCCCAAGGCCACCCAGACTGCGAATGATAGAATCAGAACCACAACCCGTAAGACCCACACCCATAACCACCACATAGCTCGTGGGCTCTTCCATCGTCAACACAAATACACTTTAATCTGAGTTCCTTTCTTCCTAAAATAATGTATTTTCTTGTTTTAAAGAACTATTTAATTTTATTTATTATTATTATCATCTTTTTTTTTTTTAATTTGCTGTAGGTCTCGTGCACTCACCAGAGAGAGATAGAGACAGAAACAGAGAGAAAGCAAGCCACCAAGTCTAGGACTCAAACCACGGTCAGCCATGTGGAAGTCCAATGCCTCAACCACTATGCCACCTGCTGGCCCCTAAGAATATATTTTTAAATGTAATTCAAACAGGTGGCCTGGAGGTTAAGACAGCTAAATCTTCCACGGCCAACTGTGTGGTTTGAGTCCCGGACCTGGCAGCTTGAAAATCATGCGAGGCAGGTGTGTACATGCCTAAAATCCCGAGAGAAAGGAGACAAAAGGACAGCAGTATGGACGTCCCACCTGGGCAGTGATTTCTCACTTTCCTTCTCTCTGTCTCTCTCTGGTGAGAGCACATGCCCTCAAGCAAACTAAAAAACAAACAAATTATAAAACTAATAAAAATCAAATTCAAGGGGACCAGCTAATGGTTACTTTGCTAGACTCTCACATAGTTGACTGTGGTTTGAGTCCCAGACCCAGTGACTTAAAACTCAGGCCAGGCGCATTTGTGTGTGCGCCCAAGATCCTGAGAGGAGAATGGAGGAGGAGGGATTGTGGTGTGGCCATCCTCCCTGGGAGAGGGGTGGGGGAGAGGGGGGAGGTGGTTTCTTTCTTTCTGGCTCTCTCTGACTTTCTCTGACTCTCCTAAGAGCTCACCCACCATGCAGCAGAACTCTCTTTTTATATTTTGTATTTATTTTTGACTTTTTTCAAAAACTCTCTCAAAAAATAAATCAAATTCAAAACTGGTTAACTTTATTTCTGGGTGCTCTGACAAATACTACAAAATAAGTCAAAATGAATGGTCACGAGACATGACTTTTCCTACCATATGCGGTGCTGTCACTTTTTGTTCAACCAGATTATAAGCCTCGGGAGCCAAGAGTAAGCTGAAAACGCCTCTAATTCCAGACCATGAAATAACAACTCCCCATCGCCAGTCATATTCTTTACTCAAACGCTTCAAAATGGGGCTCGCTAACAAAACGGTAAGCAACCTGTAGAGAGGAAGACGTTACAAATAAGAACAGTACCCAAGGATACAAGCTGGGGCCAGAGCAGGACACACCAGATGAGATCACTGGTCCCTTCCACTGCCACCACGACTGGCTAGTCCCGCATGAGCAAGACCAGCGGCTCGCACCTGTCCCGCAAAGACCACAGAAGAGTGATCCTCCCTCATCACTTTTAGCACCAGCCCAAGAACTCAAAAGGAATAAGATCACAAGTGGCTGTCTATTGTTAGTCTGTGACTAATCGTTCTATCCATTCCATTGCTGATAAGAGGAAATACCTGAAACTGGGTGATTTATAGAAATGGAGGTTTGGAAGTCCAGAGTCCAGAGGCCCTCTCTGGTGGAGCTCCTCCAGCTGGGTCAGAACATGACAGCGAGCAAGCCTGTCTGTGTCTATGTGTCTCTCTCATCACCTCTCCCTGTAAACCCACAGGAGTCAATCGCGGAGCCCCCATCCTGATGCCCTTAATCCTGGTCTCTCCCCATTACGAGACTAATCCTAGACTCTACCCTATCCTTGGACACCACAACTGGATCAAGTTCAGACCCTTTCAATCCTGCTACAATGGTCAACACGGGGATTTCATGGAGACACATTGCATCTGCAGTACTAGCCTAGTAATGCTAAATGACTGGAGAAGTCACTGGATGGGAATGAATTCACTTGATTATATACAAAGTAAATCCATCAGGGTAAAGTCAGACCCAGAAAGAGAACATAATTTTTTGGGTAATAAGATATGGGCACTGTTATAATAGATATTAAGCTAGGAGGCCACACAATTCTATAGGGAATGATTTAGAATAGTAAAATATTTTTTTAAAAAGAATTATTTTAGGGACCAGCAGTTAGCGTAATGGCTGTCGCTGGACTCCTACATAGTCGACTGTGGTTTGCGTCCTGGACCCGGTGGCTTGAGACTCACACCAGGTGTGTGTGCATGCGTGCCCAAGATCCGGAGAGGAGAATGGAGAAGGGATTGCGGCGTGGCCATCCCCCCTGGGGGGTGATTTCTCGCTCTCTATCTCTCTGTCTCTCTCTTTCTGTCTGGCGAGCACACGCGCCCTATAGCAAAAACATCTCCAAAAAAAAAAAAAAAAGAATTATTTTATTTAACTTTATTTATTTATTATTTTAAATTTGACCTGAGAGAGACAGAGAGAGAAAGTGAGAAAGCAAGCCACCAGGACCGGAACTCGAACCGTAGTCGGCCATGTGGGAGTCCAGCGCCCTTGACCACTATGCCACCTGCTAGCCTCATAGCATCTTAATACATAATAAAAAATCATTCATGTCATCTAAGTCACTGTCTAAGTCAGAAACTGGCCCATGTGCCCAGTGACTATTAAAAAAAACTCTAGAGCTCCTCTGAATATCAGAGGCCAAATTAACCCTCGTCAAGGTAGAAATCCATTGTACTTTTTTTTTTTCAATGCTGTGTCTCATCAAAGCCAAATATGGAAGTCTGAACATTCTTAAAATATCTTTCAATGAGTTCTAGGTCATTTTGGCTCTTGAACATTTTATACGCTTCACTATTTGAAAATTTTGCAATACTCAAGCATTGCTTTTTATTATTTAAAACAAAGATAAAATAAATCTTCAAAGCCCAGCTCTAAGTGTGGTGCCGTGTGTTTTTAATACCAGCATCACCACGGGCACATCGGCAACGTGCTGTGCTCCGATGCCATGACGACGTCATTAGGGAACAGGAGTTTTTCAGCTCCGTCATAATCTTACGGGACCACCGTTGTAAATGCAGCTCGCCATTGACCAAATGTCATTATGCGGCAAGGACAGTACCTATGGTGTATTAACAGGAATGGCACATGGCAAGTGCCTAACAAACGGCTGTCATGCCTGTGGTGGTAACAGATGATGACGAAAGCCAACAGAAATTAGGAGCCGCTAATCTGGTCCAGCGAGCTCCAGCTTTAACATGCATAAGCTTCATCCACAAGCAGTTCAATGCAAATCATGGAAATGTCTGATAAAGAATTTAGAACATTCATAATGGCGAAGCTAACTGAGATGGAAGAGAAGAGAGACAATGAACTGCTAAAGAGAAAGGAGAAAGAAGTTGACGAGTTCCAGGAGGTGAGGAAATTCTTGCAAGATCTAAAAGAGGAATTACA